TCGTCCTTTTCTTTAGTATGTGACAAAGTCTTAAGTAAATGTAACAAACAGGGTGGAATGCAGTGGGGAGTAAAATGTTGGAGATGTGAGGACCAGGCATCCCCAGGGGTTCTTCGTCCGCATTCCTGCATGGGCTGGGTCAGCACTGCTGGGGCAATACTCTTGCTGCTACTTAAGGGGACTGTAGCCTTGGAATGTCACCATCCCTTTCATTGTGTTGGTCCTCCTGATACCTAAACTCTTCTCTATTGGTGAAGTTTTCATTATTTTTTAAAACCAACTCTATTAAAGTATAATTTATATACAATAAGTAGGACATGTTTAAAGCAAGTAAACTGACATGTTTCAGCATATGTAAAATACCGTCTAAAGCTGAACAATCAAGAGACTGAAATTCCTATGACTTCCCAAACCCTTTCTGGGAGGCTTCTTGACAACCTCTCCCCACAAGTGGCACAAGCCAGCTTGGACTAAGGGTCATGCTGTGTGTGTGTGTGTGTGTGTGTGTGTGTGTGTGTGTGTGTGTGTGTGTGTGTGTGTGTTATGTGTATGAGTATGTGTAGATGTGTGTATATCTATATGTTTATATGAGTTCATGTGTGTATGTATATGTGGTTATGTGTCTATGTGTGTGTATATTGTATGTTTGTGTGTTTATGTATGTGTTTATATTGTGTGTATGTTTCTGTGTCTCTGTGAATGTGAGTATATGCCATGTTGTGACTGCCTATAGAAACCAGAAGTAGATGTCAGATCCAATGGAGCTGCTTAATATGGATGATGCAGACTGAACTCAATTCTATGGGAAAGCAGCAAATGTTCTCAGCCACTGAGCCATGCTCCAACCCTCCAAAAGTTTTAATAGATTTTTTTTTTTATAGTTTGTAGGTTTGACTACTCAGGCCCTCTATGAGCTTTGAGGGTTTCATATTTTGGAGGATGTGTCTATTGTTTTAAGATGATATATGTGATGGCATAAATTATTCCTGATAATTCTATTATTATAATAAAATTATGGTAATTTTATTATATTACATAATATATTACATAAACAATCTATTATATAATAAATAATATATAACTGTCTTATTCTGTTACTATTTTGAGTTCAGTTCTTTTATCCCTGATACCGGTCATTTATGTCTTCAATCACTTTTTCCTGTATATTAGTCTCCAGTGACTGCTGTAACAAATACCCTCAAAGTTGCTAGCTTAAACAGTATGTCACAACCATCCAGTGACTGGTGTCAAGGTCTCTAAGTCACATTGGAGATTGAGGACCAAGGCGCTCTAGGCGAATCTGCTCTAGAGTGAATGCTTCCCTGGCATCCTGTGCAGCTTTTATTCCATGACAGCTCGGGGTTCAAAACAGGGACAGAGAAACAATAAAAAATGGAGTATTTACCACGGTCACCGAATATGCTCAGTATACAGAAGATCCCAAGGCTAAACGGGAGCTGTTTGCATAATACTTTTGAGTTCACTAAGCTTCATTGCTTAGGGGAGGGGAGGAAACATTTTGCCCATGGCATTTCTTGGGTGGGTAGAGACCTTCCACCCAAGGGAGTAACCAAATTCTACGGCCACAGGGTTCACACAGTGGGATACTGTAGGAAAGTCTATCATATGCAGACTACAAAAGTGGAAATCTTGGCCTTGCAAGATGGCTCCTTGGGTAAAGGCCTGACATTAAGCCTGAGTCTGACAGCTTGCATTCAATCTCCAAAACCCACACGGTGGAAGGAGAGAGCCAGCTGCTGCCAATAGTTCTCTGACCTCCACATGCATGCCAAGGTATACACGCCCACACATATGCACGGACATAACCTACACACATAAAATTCAAAAGTTATTTTCAGAAGTACAATTGTGTATTTGTTGTCTCACAGTTCTGGTGAAAAACAAGTTGAAAGTCAGTTTGATTGGGCTGAAATGAAGGCATCATTAGGCCTGTTCCTCCCTCCACAGGCTGGAGGAGGCAGTCTGTTCCTTGATTTTCCCACTTGGATGCCATCCAATGTTTCATAGCCTATGTCTAGGTCAGTCTAGTCCCGGTCTTTTTCGCTGTCTTGAACATTGCACTTCCTGTTAAGGCTCCACTGCAGACAGACCAGGTAATCTAGTGTACTCTCATCCTGAACCAACCTGCATGTACTCTTTGCCATTTGAGGGCAGAGCTCAGGACCAGGATCGTTTCAAAGGGATCCTCATTTGGCCTCCAAAGTCTGGCTAGAAACTCACAGATATATTCATCTTTTCCAGGAACCAGCTTCTGGTTTCACTGGTTCATTTCAACTGTCTTCCTCTTTGCTATATTGTGGGCTTTGTTACTGTTTTCAGTCTGTGCTTCCTTCATCTTTGGGGGGAGGGGGCGGTTCTTAAGGTTGAAGCTCCATTCCACAAATTTGACATGGTGCATTTTCATAGGCTTTGGCATTCTTTACATTGTTCCTTGGTTGTTAGAATTTCCCGGTCCACTTTAACAACTGTTCTCTAGGTGCCCTTTGGTTAATTTCTAAATGGCATTATAGTCAAAGAACATTTTCAGGGTAATTTCCAGCTTTGAATAGTTTTCAGTTAATTGAGATTAGTTTTAGAAATCTGTTTCGAGACATTAAAGCGTAGCTGTTTCTTTTCTGAGGACTGTGAACAGCCCTTTTCTGGTTCACATGTCAGGTTTTGGAGAGCTGTACCTGTATGCGGGAGGGCATAGGAAAAAAACTGGTGAAATTTCTGCTCCATGAGGGGGAGGTTTTTTATTGTGCATAAGAAAGAAAATATCCAGAACCCTCTGGAATCGTCCAGAGGTGGGAGGGAGAGAAAAAAGAAAAAAAACATACTCTTCTCCTGAGCCTAGGTTCCTCCCACTATCTCTCTGCCTGCCAGCCCCGCCTATTCCTCTACTACTTAACTATTGGCCATTCAGCTTTTTATGAGACCAATCAGGTGCCTTAGGCAGGCATAGCAACACATCTTTATGTCGTTAAACAAATGCAGGATAAGCAAATACAACACATCTTTACATAGTTAAAGTAATATTCCACAACATGTACTAGCCCACCCCTTCATATTAAGGCAAGGCAAACTTTGGTCCTAATTCCTTATCATTTTCTCCCTGTGACCTTACCTGACCATCAGTTCATGATACAATGTGATAGTGGAAGTAGGTATGGCATTTTGAATACTGTTACAGACTTCTTGAACAAGGAAAAGGTAGTCTTTGACCTATGGAAAGTCAAGATAAGTATAGTTTGATTTGGGTATCATTTAAAATTTTTTCCTAATACACAGAGTAAGTGATATTTTATACAAATGTTTTTACTTTGGGGGAAAGATAGGTGTTTATATGGTGCTGTGTGCATCTCTTCTTTTTGCAGTTCATTTAGAGATATTTATACTTGTACAGAATCCCACTTTTCTTCAGGCAAGTGATCCATATATATTTCAACACTGTCACAGTATTGTTTCACACAGCCTCTCTGATACAGTTGATTGTCCTCTCCCTTCAGTGAATCTAAGTCAATTTTCTGTGTGGCATATGCCCAGCCTACTTTTTAAATGAATTGAGCTCTTAGTGACGCCTCTAGGCCGATTTGTAATGTCTTGACATCGAGAACAGAAACGTTTTCAGTAGGTGCAATCTTGTGATTTTAATCAAACTTGTGAGGAGTCCGAATAGTCTGAGCCCCATAGCATTCAGTTCTAATTAATGCTCGGTCTCGACATCTCACGTTATCATTTATTATTGAGACCATACACATATTCTTTGTGATTTCTGCAAGCTAAATATGTGACTTTCAGAAGATTCCTGAAATAGTGAGATTTACTTGGATTTTAGTTCCCTTGACTTAGTTTAGGGTTTGGTGATTGATAAACATGACCTTCAGGGAAAGTGCTTTAATTAAGCAGTTGGCATTCAGGGAATCACAGGCCATTTCCTTTAACAGCAGAGATCCCCTGGATAGTTTCTAGCACAGCACGGACACCATATACAGCACTTGTTAGTTTTTCGAGGACACTCTGTAGCAAACCCTTCTGGGAGAAGAAGTTGTTCCCTGACATAGATCAGTTTCCTTACGAGAGGCCTCAGTCCTTTAGATACCACAGCTGTGTAGAACTGCTCTAGGCTGTTCGAAATCCCATTTATATTTTATTATTCATTTGTGAGTGTGTGTATATATGTGTGTGTGTGTGTGTGTGTACATGTATGTATGTGTTTGTGTGTGCACACACATATGCCTACTTGTGCATGGCATAGTGTTGTGTGGAGGTCAGGGGGCAGCTTGCAGGCATTATTTCTTTCCTCTTGTCATGTGGGTCTCCAGGATGGAATTTAGGCCATCAGGCTTACTGGCAAGTGCTTTACCAGTTAAAGCATTTCACTAGCCTCTGGTTTATATTTTAAAATAATCATTGGATGCCTGTTCAGGACCAGCTCAGTTTGTAAACATTTTCATACATGCATATATTTGTGCACAACAGACATTATTTGTCTTCTGTTACATTTTGATAATACCCAATATATCCATAAGCAAAATTGATATCAAGCCTAAATTCCTTGATGTCAATAGAATAGAGTGGAATAAATTTTGTTCCTAATTTGTTTGGAATAAATGCTATTTCACGTGCTGTTTTTACCAGTTACCTTGTAAATGATCCCACATGAATGCATTTTAAATCGTATTTAATTGTTGAGAAAGTAGAAAAGCAAAAGGCGTAATTAATAATTGTAACTAGAAAGAATGCAATGAAGAATAATGTGAGACAGATTTGGTTCTGTGGGTCTAAATAGTACCCATGACATGCTATCATCAGAATTCTCTGCTGTTACTTTTGAAATTACAACTGAAAAATGCTGTCAGTTTTAGAAGTAATACATTGTGCCCAAATTTCTGTAAAAGTTTTATTTCAAAATGCCCAACGGTGCTAATTTCACAGAGATTTGCAACAAGATCTGAAAGTAATGGCCGGGTCTTTCTCTCTTTCTTTTGTAAAAACAGCTGGACCTATAATCTGCAGAATGCTGAGTTACCCCCCTACTCGCCGAGCCTTAGTTGTGGGATGTGGTTTACAGATGTTCCAGCAGCTCTCTGGCATCAACACCATCATGTACGTATTCTTGTTGGCTTTCTCTTGAAAAGTCTGTGAAGGGAATATTTCACAGGGAAGGCAGCGGAGAGTTCTTGGTGATTTGTCACTATTAAATGCAGAGAAGTGCCTCTGGGTATGATTTATGATTGTTAAGACCCACCACTTGGAACCTAAAGGTCGTTTTGTGTTTGGTATATTATTGTAACTGTATGTTTCATATAAATTGTAATTATGCCACTGATACTTTTGATTAATCCAAGTTAACATCATTTTAAGCTTTAGTTATTATAGAGTCACACAGCATTTTTGTGTAATGCTGTAATGATTTTGGAGCACATTCTTTCCCCATCTCGACTACATTCCTTTCTTGACCACATTCTCTCATATTCCCCCTTTTTCCCAGACAGCTTTGTCCCTACTTTCATATCATCTCTATATATTTGATTTTATATACCTACATATAATTTAGGACTCTCAAATGGGAAAATGTCATATTTCTCTTTCCGAGACTCACTTAATTCACTTAACATGATAATCACTGGTTGTATCCATTTTCCTACAAACAATATAATCTCATTATTCTTATGGCTAAACAAATTCCATTGTGTATATAAATGGTATTTTCTTTATCCACTCCTCTGTTGATGGACATCTGGGATGGTTCCATGGTTTAGCTGTGGTGCCCAGTGCAACGTAGTAAAACGTGCTGTGAAGTATCTTTGTGATGTATTTACTTACAGGTTTTTGGGGGGTGTAGTTGGGTCATATTATGGGCTTCAGAGAATCCTCAGTGCTGAAGTCCATGATGGCTAGACCACCTTAATTTCTCCCAGAATATGCAAGGGTTTTCTTGTCCTCATCCTCATCAGCCATTTTGTTTTCTTGATGACTGCCATTCCAGTTGTGATGTCAAGAAATGCATTTCCATGGCTAGTGAAGTTAGTTTCTTTTCATGTATAGTGGCCATTTGTAGTTCATCTTTTGAGACTTTCTGGTCATTTCAGTCTCCCATTTAATGATTTGATTGTTCATTTTTTTTTGTTTAGTTTTTTTTTTTTTTAGTTCATTGTATATGCTAGATGCCAGATCTTAGACAGCTCGAAAGTTTCTGTCCAGTTCTGTGTGTTATCTCTGCACCTAACTCAGTTTCCTTTGCTGTGTGTAAGCTTTTTAACATCATCGGGCCCCATTTGTCTACTGTAGGTCTCCTTTCTGAGCAGCTGGTGACCTTCCCAGAAGGTGCTTGCCTATGCAGATATCTTCAACTATTTCCCATACTTTTTCCTCTAGCAGTTTACAGAGAAATGATCATGTGATTTCTGTCCTTGCATCTATTTGTGGAATGTGTCATTTATTTACTTGAGTACATTGAACCATCCATGTATCTCTGGAATGAAACTGACTTGATTATGGTGAAGTTTTTGATGTGTACTTACTTATATGCTTTTTTAAAGTCTTATATTGGTTATCTTTGAATCTATATTGATCAGGACAATTATTCTGTAATTTTCTTCTCTTTTTTTCTGTTGCATCTCATTCTAAATTAGGTACTGGGGTAATATTGGCATTGTAGGAGGGTTTTGGCAGTGTTCTCCTTTCTATTTTATAGAATAAATAGCTTTTGAAGCATTGTTGTCCATTTTTTAAAGACATGGTTGAATTTAGCAGTGGATTTTTTTTTTTTTTTTTTTGGTTTTTTTGAGAGGGTTTCTCTGTGTAGCTTTGCGCTTTCCTGGAACTCACTTGGTAGTCCAGGCTGGCCTCGAACTCACAGAGATCCGCCTGGCTCTGCCTCCCAAGTGCTGGGATTAAAGGCGTGCGCCACCACCGCCCGGCTGCAGTGGACTTTTTTATTTGGGAGACTTCTTATTCTTCAGTCTTGTTACTTTGAGATCTGCTTAAACTGTTTATGTCATGTTAATTTAATTTGGGTACATCTAAAAACTCATCCTTTTCAATTTTCTAATTTAATGAAATATAAGCTTTTAAAATACATACTAATGATTTTCTGAATTTTATTGAATCTGTTGTACTATCTTCCTTAGAATCCTTACTTGGTGGATTTAGTGATTTCTTTTGGTCATTTGATTAAGTATTGTTGACCTTGTTTATCTTTTCAAAGCTTTTTCTCATTGATTGTGTTTAATTTTTTTTCCAGTTCATTAATTTCTGCCCTAATGTTGATTATTTCTTTCCGTCGTCTAATTTGGGTTTTGTTTTGTTCTTTTTTTCCTAAGTTCAGAGGGTCTATTGTTAAGTAATTTATTTAAGATCTCTGTTTTTTTTTTTTGATACAGGCACTTGTAGCTATGAACTTCATCTTATTACTGCTCTTATTTTATCCTGTAAGGTTTGGAGTGTTGTATTTTCAGTCTCACTCAGTTTTAGGGATTTTCCAGTATCTCTTCATTTCTCTGACCCATGGTTCACTATTATTTTTCGTTCTTCAAGTTTGTACATACTCTGCTGCTTCTCTTACTCATTTCCAGCTTTATTCCACCACAACATCATGTACAATATAAGAAATTATTTCAGTTTTCCTATGTATCTTCAGATTTTCTATGGATCTTATGTTGTGTCCATTTTCTGACTTTTATTTTTTATTATTATCTGTGGATAGGTGATTTGCCTGCATGCATGTCTGTGTACCACTTACATGCATGGTACCCTCAGAGGCCAGAAGAGTGTGTTAAATGACTTGAAACTACTTTTTACAGGGGTTTATGAGCTACCATTTGGGTCCTGGGAATCAAACCTGAGTCTCAGAAGCTGAGCCATCTCTGACTGCTGGCCAGACCCTCTACGCAAATTTCACATTATTCTAGTTTAAAAACAATAGCCTCTTAAACAATAGTAAGTTCTGCAAAGATAAAAAAGGATAATATGGTGTACGCTAGGATATTAGTCACAGAGAATAACACTGCAAGGGGAGTAGGTGGGTATTAGATCAACTGAGAAAAAGAGTCAGGGTGGGGAAAGTAGCTGAGTGGGGAAAGTTAGGATACTGTCTTCATCCACAAATTTTAGAGAGTAAGAAGTAAAAGCAAAAGACAGAAAAGAGAAAAAAATAAAAGAGCTAGGAACAAGAGGGGAATATATGAATTGTGTGTAAGAATAATAGTACACAATAATAAACTGAGTAGAAAAACATCAGAGCTGTGAAACAGCCACTCATAGGTGTGTAGCCCTGCCAGGGATTATGGGGAAAGCGTGCTCCTGTCTTTTCAGGGTTGTGCATCATCATGCAGTACAAGGTCATTAATAAAGGAGGTTATTAGGACCACAGTATAGAGGAGAGGAGATGGTGTGGAGATGCAGGGAAGACAAAACGGTCCCTGTTTACTCCTTTCACCGTGTATTTGTTGGGGGGATAAGTGGTCTAAAGCTGCAGACCCTTTGGTGTGCTTCATTCATTATTAAGAACTGTTTTGGACCTGTGCATCCTGTCACAGTCTCTGTGAGTTTCTATGTGCATCAGTCCTGTTGTGTCTGAAGACACTGTTTCCCTGGAGTCATCCTTCACCTTGGGCTCTTAACAATATTCCTGTTTCCTCTAACACATAGATCCCCAAGTGTTGAGGGATTCCATTGGGGTTTTTTGTTTTGTTTGTGTGTGTGAATGTGTGTGTGTGTGTGTGTGTGTGTGTGTGTGTTGTTTCATTCAAGGGGAGAGGAATTGGTATTTTGTTTTTCATTTTATGTTTTGTTTTGGAGAGAAAGAGCATGCTCCTACAATTTGGTGGGGAGGAAGGTTGAGAGGATCTGGGAGGAGTTGGGGGAGAGGAAAACATGCTCAAAGTATATTGTATGAAAAAAAATTAAGTAGAAAAAGCAACTGTTTTGGCATGTATGGCTGTATAGGCCAATGGAAACACACATTAAATACACTCTCAATTAAATATAAAAGATTCCACCACATCTCCATAGAGTACTCTTTTAGACGTAGAATACAGCCATGGTTTCTGAGATACAGATCTTGGAAATCCACATCCTAGAAGTTTTCTTCCAGCTATTTACTTCAGTTAATCACTGGAAAAACAAGGATTATATTCAATAAAATTTAATCAAACTATTCCTATTTGAGACTAATAATATTATCCTTTAAATTTGCTTAGTATGGTTAAGTATGTAGTAATAATTTTGGAAGAGTATAATGGTTGAATAATTTTCAATAATAAAGATTAGTGGGGCTGACAAGATGGCTCAGTGGGTAGAGTCATTTGCTAAGCAAACCTAGTAACAGGAGTTTGAGGTCAGGAACCTGTGTACAGGCAGAAGGAGAAAATCATTTCCACCATGTTGTCCATTGTCAATGTGCACCTTGGCATACATGTGCCTTCCCACCAAGATAACCACCCCCACACTTTAATTTAAAAAAAAATTAGGATCCAGGGCCCCAGGACATTGCAACCACATTCTTTGCGAATTTGACATTAATCTCTCACGGGCTCACCCCGTCAGGCTGCAACCTCATTGCGTATGTTTTCGGTATTCCATTATGCCAACCTGACTTTCATTTTTCTTGCCTTTCTTGACCCTCTGCAGGCTGATACAGTGCCTCCTATCTGGACTTGTTCTGCATTTGTTCTGACCTTCTGTTATTCTGAGACTCATCTTTCTTTCTTAAGCGTTGGTAGCATAGGACTGCAGCAAAGGATGCACCAAACTTTCAAATAATGCAGAGTCACTGACAACCCCGTACGAATATGCTAGGTGATCACCACAATATATTCTCTATTTCTAGATGTGTTTATTGAACTTGATAATTTTTTGACAGCACAGAAAACAAAGGAATGTGTTCCTTTTTTGCAGTTATTTTAAATAAGAATCACAGAGCCATTTCTAATTGATGGTTTGTAGCTAATGGCAGTGTGCTTCTAAATGCTAGATGAAATGACTGTCTTCATCCACCTGCACTATCAAGTGTCAGTTGTGCTCAACATAGTTTTCAATCTTTAATTAAGTATTCATTTTTGTAAGTCCTTCATCCTTTCTTAGAGATTAAGGGATATTACTGG